TCGACAAAAATAAATTAACCATGCGCTAAACTAATTTTCAAAAAAACTTGTTTTTTTGTCGATAGTTTTATACACACTACCATTTTTTGTCTATTGCCTGCTATGTAGGTCAGCTTGACCCTAGCATATATACGTTTTTCTCTGTTCTTCCATATGAGCAATATATTTAGAAATATATAGGTCACATGTTCATAGAATCTATGCATCAAATTAAATATGCTAAGACAGTTTCAAAGGAAACTGGGTATGTTAAAAAGAAAACTCATGCCGTGCGTTTGTTCGTTTGTTTGTTTGAATAATTAGTTACACTGTGAACATTGGTGAGCCGAATGTCACACTTTATACAAAAAGTTTGCTGTGTTGTATTTTTTTATCTAGTGAGACCAACTAATCTAGATCAATCATCGCCGCCATCTATATGCGTGTATCCCATCTCGTTCCTTGGACAAACCAACACAGCGGTTTTTATATGTTACAGACATGTTAACAGATGTATGGGATAAACAGGATATCAAATTCGTACCCGTAGAATATCAGATTTATTAAACTAGTTTTGTAATTTTTTTGCAATACTAGTATATTAATAACGAAGGCTCGGAACAAAAGACAATTTCTAGAATGCTTATATATAACTGACATACAAGGATCATGAAAGATGTATCTCAGAATGTGGAATTTAATTCATCCTTGTGTGACTATGTATCATGCCAATTACATAATAACTGTAATGGATGTATCTTGAACAAATGTTTTTTTCTTTCGTTTTATGAATAACATAACAGCTTGCTATACCATTTGATGACAAATATTATCTATAGTTATATCCTTAAACCAATTTTTTGGGTGCAATTTCGACAAACTATATATAAATGATAGATCGTGAGTGGCATATTCATGTATAACTAATTACAGAAAATCTAAGAGTCATACTCCCGTGTATTATCATTAATTCGGATTACACGTAACGCAGGCAAGTCTTGTAAGTGAAAATAATAAAATAAATTAAAGCTAAAATTACTACAAATCAAATTACAAATAATATTAAAACAATCGTATAAAATCGTATATTTGACAGAGACTACGACGACGTAAAAGATGTTGGTTCTGAATACGTAATATTATATTATTTAAGGCAATATTCCCAAAATACATGCATATCTGAGCATGAATATCTACACTTAGGTAACCGTTACGGCAATGCTTCACACATCCGGGTACCCTTGATACTTTAAAGGACAGTGTATGTTTATCTCGCAAAATGCGCCACATAAGCGATG